CTTGCCGGATCGGTACGATGCCCTTTCCAGCAAAGGGGCTGTAGACGGCTAGGTCGGAGGTCGTCTCGTGGTAATCCTGGCGCAGCTTGTCCACAATCGGCTCGTCGCCCAGGTTGCCACCGGCCGCCGTCTCGAACACCGCGTGCCCACCGCTTCGGCGCTGGTACTCGAAGATCTCGGCAACGAGGTTGAGGAAGTCGCGATCCGAATCGTAGTGCATGTCGTGTGGTGGCTGTCGTTCCCCGCATCCTGCCAAAGCCGCCCACGATGAGCGTGGGTCCTCGATCACCACCAGCCGGGGCTCAAACTCATTCAGCGTGCTTAGCAGATGTTGCCGTACCGCCAGTCCATTGCGCATGCCCCGCTGTAGGCTGGCGGGTTGTAACACACGAAGTCCCCAATGTGATGCCGCCCGGATGGAGACGCGGCCGCTGCCACTGAAGATCTCGAAGATGTCGAAGCGAAAACGTTTGCGAGGCCAGCGGCTATCGTGGATGCGACCCTGCACGGCCTGACGATGTACATTGGCGGCCGCCAGCGCTTGGCGAGCTCGGTCTTGCAGCCGTCGTACTTGACCGGGCTTCAGAGCTCGTCCTCCATCTCCGCATCCGATATCATCCCCACCGACTCCCACGAATCCGGGGATCCGCTGGTCTCCTCCAACACCACTTTCGCTGCTTGGCTGCTGCGGCCCTCCGTGTAGCCCTTCTTGCGAGCCTGGGCCGCGGCCACCCGCTTGTCCTCCAGTCGCTGCGCCGCTTGGCGCTCGATGCGCTCCCGCTCCTCCTTGCTCAGGGCCTTCAGGTTGACGGTCTCCTCGGCCTCCGAGCTCAACACCTCGCCACTGTTCGCGCTGCCCGACTTGCCGCTCCGCGAAGCTGTCGAGGAGGCGGCCTTGCTCCTCCGTGAGTCCCGTGGGTCCGTAGTCACCGAGGAGGGCCGAGAGCACGAGTAGCAGGCGAGCAAGCTTTTTGAAGACTCCTCGTCCTTGCGAGGGCGGCCCCCGGCTGGAGGCTTGATGGTTCCGCCTGGTACATGACGCCGTCCATGAAGATACGGGTATACCGGGATCTCCTCCTGGGTGATCGGCACCTGGTACATGAGCCCCGACCACACCGTCCCGCAGTTCAGGCATTCCATGAACCTCCCGTGGGCATTGCCGGTCCTTCTGGCCACGTCCACCGGGTGACGGCATGTCACTGGATCCCGGGGGTACGGGGCCTGAATGAGCTTCTTGACTTGTCCTTTGGCCGCCGTCGTCGCTGGAGGAGCTGTCGCTGGCATCGTCCCAGCGAAGGTCTCCTTGGCGATCATCGCCTCTGCGTAGCTCATCAGTGCCGGCATGCGGTGCTTCAGCGTTCATCACCAGCTCCTTGGAAACGAGCTCGATCACCTCCATGAGGCCCTGAAAGAGTCGGGCCCATCGATCCACCGTGCGCCGCTTCAGGCCGGAGCTCTTCATGAACATCGGTCGCAAGGGATGTAGCTGGAACGATCTCTGAGCCAAACTCGCCGGGCGGCACGGAGAATCGTCCTCGACGCAAAGGTGGAGGTGCTTCCGGGGCTCGGGACTTCTTCAAATCAAAGTGCTGGATCTTCTTGCGGTTCATGAGTGTCAACTGGTGTGGCTTGACATGTGCATGCGTACCGTCAGACAACTGCACTCTCACTTCCGTCCCGACAGTAGGCAGCACAACCTGAGAAGCATTCGCACCCTTGCCGAAGAAGTAAGTAGCCCCAACCCAAGGAACCGTAGCGACACCACAACCGTCACCCCATTGATCACAGCGCGGCTCCGACTCACTCGATTTCACTGTCACTCGCACAGACTGCAAGGTACGGAGGTCGGGGCCGTCGAGGGTCTCATCTGGGGAAAAGAGCACAGTCCTCGGACGGAGGTGGTGCCGAACGTATACTTGACGATCGACCTGAAACTCCCAATGATCTGCTGCAACTGTACAAGGAAGGGGTTCAGCGGAGTTCTCGGGCTCATAGAGGTGCGTGGGTGCAAACTGGGCCTGTTCAAAAACACTCTGCTCAGGAGACGACACCTGCACATGACGGCCCGACTGCTCAAACAACACTCCTGGGTAGCCCTCCTTCCGCGCGACCAGCCCGGTTGGCCAGCCGTCATCGGGCATCTCATCGATGGCTACCACAAGGTGGCCGGTGACGTCCACCAGCAAAGGAGCCTGGGCATTGATCTCGCGGAAGATCACCACTCCCTGTCCGATGTCCAGGCACGCGTTCATGAAGACCATCCAGTCTTGGCCTGCCAGGAAGGGAATGCGAGTGCCGGCGCCGTCGTCGATGGAAGAAGTCTTGATGACTCCCGGCCGTCCTTGTATCCCGAATGGGACAGCCCATCTCTCATTCGATGTAATCGCCTGTCCGGGCCCAAAGCAATATTTCTCGTGCTCGGCCTCGATCAACGGCTTCACGTTGAACTTCCGCACCAATTTAGTGGTGATCTCCTGCAGCAAGGTCTTGCCCGCGACGGTATTCTCGCAGGCAGTGTCGAGCGTGAGATAGCATCGCCCAGCTTGAACAGTCGGCGGTCGCCGCATGTTGCTCTCGACGTGCCTCGGGATGGACCGCTCAGTGGCCCAGCTCACTCTCCGGACCTGGTAGATCGATGTGACCGGCTTCCGCAGCGACTCCACATCGATCTTCTCACCGTCGTCCTTATCAAGCAAGTCCAGCACGCCTTTGCCACGGTGCTCCGCGAGGTCGAGGCCAAAGTGCTTGAAGGCGTTCTCGAGAGCCTCGCCGCCGGAACTGGTAGTAGAGGTCGGTTTCGCGGCCTCGGAGAGCACCTTCTGGATGTCCTTGGCCTCGTAGCCGCCGTCCTGGAGCAGAGCTCGGCGCACCTTAGTTGAAGTGCCGGCCAAATCGCCGATCACATCCGGCCGTGCGCCGGCCTTCTTTTGCAACCTTTGCACACCTCGGGCAACAGCATTGGCCTCCGCGGTCACGAAGTCAGAGGAGGTAGTCGCGGTTGGAGGCGACGCCGTCGAGGGGGCAGCCGAAGGAACCGCCGTTTTGCTCCCAGCGGCCGTAGTTTGGTATGTGCTCCGCCTCACCGCGTAGCCATACTGCTGCGTCTCCCATTGTTGCCACTGCTCATCAGTGTAGGCCTCGCCGTACCAGTCATCATCCTCCTCGGCTTCGTCGGTCCGGGTCGTCTCATTGGCACGCTTCGGGCCTTTACAGGCTGGATCTCCGCGCCAGTGACCGACCACCCCGCAGTCGGCGCAAGCCGTCTTGGACTTGAGCTCATCAAGAGTCATGCCCCTGGCCTTGCCGCCGCCCTTTTTGCCGCCTTTTCCCTTGCCGCCTTTGCCTTTGCCGTGGCCCTTTGAGTCCTTGCCCTTGCCCTTGCCGCCGACGTAGTAGCCACGGGCTTGCACAGCTTTGGCAAACGTTGGCGATTCTCACGTTGGTTTGACAACACTCGTGTAGCTCTCGAGCCACTTCCTCCGGAAGTTCGTCTGGCTCGACCTCCGCTAGGGCCTCCACCGGGTCGTGGTCATAGATCCAAGCGTCGACCTGGTGCTCGGTGGCAGAGGGATCTGGCATTTTCCAAAGGTCCGTGTTCCACTCGTGGTGAGCCTCGTGTGCAGCGCGTCCTTGGCGACCTCGAGGCGGACCGTCACGACCGGGATCACGGCCTCCACGGACTTGAACGTTCTGGTAAAGGAGCTCGACGGCCTGCTTCATCTTCTTCCAATCGTACTCGCCGCCCGTCCTGAGGAGCAGTGTCGCCTGGCTCTCAAGCGACAGCTGAGTGTGCTCAAAGAAGAAGAAGACCATCACCTCGTCCGGTATGACCAAACTAGATTCTCGGCACCGGCGAGCTGCTTTGTCCATCAAGTCCGCGACCTCAGGCATGGAGTAGGACTTCTCGGTCAAGTTCATCTTAAAGAAGCCCTTCATAGCCGAACCGACTTTATGCATGCGCTTCTCATCGAACTTGTCCCGAAGCAGCTTCAAAAGAACCTGCCAGCCCTTTTCCACGCCGAAGACACGAGCAGGAACGTCCTCCAGGAAGTCCGCGGCCTCGCCTTCCAAAGCCGCGTGCAATCGAAGGCTCGTCGATGATGTTCTTGGCGATCTCGACGTAGGAGTCCACCTTCGTGGCATACTTCCGGAAGCACTTCGCGTCTTTGCGACGGTCTCCATCGAAGACCGGGGCGTTCGGAAGGTTGCCCCGTGGCCTCCTTTGGGCCCGCTCCTTATCCTTGCCATTGCCATCGCCAGGAGCTGCCTTCGAAGGTGAAGCAGATGCAGGCACAACTCGCGCAGAAGCTTGGGATGACGGGGGCGAAGATCGAGGTCCTCGTCGTCCCCGGGCAGCTGATCCGCCTCGCGTTGAGGCTCGCGAATCAACTCTTCATCCTCATCGCCGTCCAGATGAGAAGGGTGGTCCTCAGGGCCATCTTCGTCGTCATGTGGCTCGTCGTATCGATCTCCTTCTTCCAGGAAATCACTCATTCTTTCTGGAGCATCCGCCTCATCGAGATCCGGGTCACCATGCTGCGACATCGAGGGATCTAAAGCACGACGCTACCAATGCAACTTTCGGGGTTCACAACCGAAGTCTGGTTAGTGGAGCCTGGGTGCACTACAGGTCTCAAAGAAGAAGAAAGCGAGGGGTTCACTACCTCGGCCTTTTGCGCGCACATTCGCGCCAAGCTCAAGGGCCCTAAATGGCCGCAGATCCGAAGGTTCCTCACCTGTGTGAATGCAGACAGCTTTGCACCAGCGACCGAGACGCACATGGCGTCTTGAAACAGCACCCACTAGACCAGGACATTCTGGCTGCGACTGAAGAAGAAGCTGATGATTATGAGTGAGAAGGACGACGAGGAGGGCGAGGGGAGAGGAGGAGGAGGAGGATTCGGGTTGAAACCTTTCCGGTTTGTCGAATGGAAAAAATCGCAGAAAACACCCTTCCGACAAGATGTGGCAGCTCTTCGGAGCAATGCATCTTTCGGTGCCTGATTTCGACACCTTCATCTTGTGAATCTTGAAAACGCCGCCACATCCACCGAAGCGAACATTCGCAGAGCCAAACACGACTTCCGGGATGCCGAGATACTGCAGAGCTGCGGCCTTCTTGCACGTCGAAGCATCTCAAGCTGCAAAACTTCACTGGACGATGAAGCAACACGAGCCAAGTGACGCACATGATGCAGGGCTCCAGAGTCACGTACAGCGTGCTACTTCGAAGAAGTGTTGGCCCATCTGCCTCGAGCTTTTGAATACCAGCGCCGCAAGCACATCGACTAGTGACTAGATTTCCCGAGTGCTGCAAGCGCCTGCCGAAGCACCCTCTCAGAGGCCACAAACTCGCAGTGGCGCGTGCCTTAGCAGGCTCTCCTCTACGTGGTGAGACTCCAGCGCGTCTACACAGCACAGCCTCACTACTCTTCCAGCATGGTGCCATTCCGGGAACGGTTCGTCTCGTTGCCCGCACGTGCAAGCACATCTCCGGTTTGACTGACCAAGATGCAGCCAACAGGCACCTCTCCTCAGAAATGCACCCATGGTCCTCACCGCCCTCTTATGCCACTGATCCAAAAGAAAAACCTCGAACCCAACACGCTGCTCAAGGCCTGAATCGATCGGCCCTCCAGCATCGCAGCCCTGGCTTCTTCCAAAGCCAATCGCATGAAGTCCTCGTCTGTTTTCGAGGCACATGACATCTTTAAAGGATCTGCTAGCCTCGTAGCCCGTAGCTGCAGGAGACAAGGCCACGGGAGGGAGTACACAGGCCAGTCAACAGCTTTGTATCGAGGCGCTCTTTTTTTCCCGGTGCGACGGCCTTCTTGGCTGCCGTTGCAGCTTCTGCCTTTCCATTGAGGAATGTCAGAGCTGTTCTACAAGCATTTGCTGCTTTGCTCTCAGCCGCTCATCACTTCGTGGAGGAGCTGCGCCTGCCCCAAGGCTACGTGGCCTGTGCTTGAAGAGGCCCACACACCCGCCTCGACAATGGCCTCTCGGTGCCCCAGACGGGGAACCTGTCCCGCTCGTGGTTTCTCCACCATCCAGGCTCAGCAAACGCTCTCAGTCTCAGCATCGTACGTCCGGCAAGGTATACGACGACAACCTTTGAGCAAGAGAGCTTCTGGTTGAAGCACAACATTCTTTTTCGGAGGTAAGAATAACACAGGTCTGAGCCCGCCGCGCAAACTCTCGATCCTGGAAGCAGGCATCGTTGGGCTCCCATCCCCACATGTAGACCTTCTGCAAGAAGGTCAGCAAAACTGCAAAGCCACACAAAGCTTTTATGACAATGCCGAGCCTCTGTGTCACCTCTTCTGGCTCGAGAACAAAGGCCCCCGGAAAGGGGCTGCACCTCCGAGGAAAGCTTCGGGGGTTGTTGCACGGAGAGGAAACGAAGGAGAAGCGAAGTTCCGAGCAACATCATCCGCAGCACAGAAGGCAAGATGCGGTTTCAAAGCAGAAAAGCTACTTAGCTGCTGCCTCTGTCCTTTGCCGCCGGCGCACCAAAGACCCAAGGTTGGGCTCTAGGATCACATGAAGAGATCTGCGGAACGTTTGGGGCTTTGCAGACAGGCATCTACACTGTCAGTCTATGGTCGCACCTCGGCTTGCTTGAGGTCACAGGCTTTGGTCTTGCCCGGCTGCCAGCCCTGCCCGAAAAGCAAACTCGTGAATGAAGCGCCAACGAACATTTCAAGAGGACAAAATGGGCCATGCGGCCACGCATGTCCGTTCGGCCCGACCAAGCCTAGATACACCCTTGCTGAGTTGTTGATCTGCTTTGCAAGATCTACTGCTACACAGTGTCAAGTCGAATAGGATTTGGGGTCTCCAAATCGGCAGGCGCGCCATCCAAGAGAGCCGGATTGTGAGCTTTCCCGACAAGTGAGTGCACCTCGGATGTCGCTTCTGCCATTGGCCCGCAAAGAAAACTTCTTGCGGTGCTCACATAACAGGGAAGACTGGGCGCCGGCAATTTGATTGGGTCGTTCCACCGCATCGCATCCGACACGTGTAATGAATACTGTTCTACACTTGCACACCTCCCGAAGCCAAGACATCCGAATTCTCTCACCAATGCTGCGTCGACGTCGGTTCTGGACACTCACACATGCGACGCCAGGATAGCGATCAACAAAATGCTTCACGCGAGAGCTGTCACGAAACAATACAAGATCTCACCACCCACCTCTTGCGGTGGTAAACCTGCTCGCTGACGTTGCAGCTGCTGCGGCACATGTGCACTGGCTGCCACTGGCTGCGAGCGTGGCATTGCATGCGGACGGACTGTGATGCGGAAGCTGTGACTGGCGGCGGCGGCGGTGGTGCGGGGCTGGTGAGGATGATGGTGGGGATGGTGGTGGGGACGGTGGTGGGGACGGTGGTGGCGATCATGATGGCGCGCTGCTGCAAGTGAGCACAAACCCCAAAACATATCAGGTGTAAACATGACATGCATTGGCACGGCTTCGTCGGGGAGACTGCACCGATGCACCCGTTCCCTGGGCTCGCGGCCGGAGCTCCGGCGGTGAAAAGACCGGCTAGCCTCAGAGTGAGGGTGCTCGGTGCAGCCCCAGCCCCCGGGTCGCTTCGTCTGCCCGTGCCTCTGCTCCCACACTCCTCCACTAGTGGGAGTTTTTGCTTCGGAGGCTCGGAGGGATCGGAGGGAGCAGAAATTTCCGGTGTCCTCTTGCTTTGCCTCGCCTGGAGCTGGCACATGTCGCGCTGCCTGGGCGTGTCAGCACTCGCGAGAGTTCGAGTCACGCTGTGAATCCTGAGCCATCTCAGCCCTGCGCTCTCCCCTTTGCCTCATTTCCAGCAGCGTGATTTCGCGTTGCAAGGCTTCGACCTCTCGAGGTCGAAAATCGAAAAACGAGCACGCTTTGGACAACGCGCCTCACGCATCCTCCAGGTCAGTGCAGAGGTTACCGACTCCTCAGCCAGCTGCCCCCCAATTCCGGCTCAGGTACTCGCCGCTCGGCTGAGTTTCGGGCATGCCAGTGGCCCGGCTCCGGAGGGATGCGGAAACCTCGCACAAAAGGCTCTCTCTAGCACTGGGCTGAGAAACAAACCAAGCCGCTGACGCCGCATCGCCTTGACCTGTACACCGGACTCTCCAAGGACTCTCCGAGGACTGGAGAAACCTCGGGAGGCCTTCTTTTGCCACTCTCCCCGCTCGCGGACTGCCGCCTGCAGAACCTGCCAGGGCGGCAACTGCTTCGGGCATCGGTTTCGCCGCTTTGCCTGCTTCAGTTCGGCGATAAGCGTCTCACCTTGTACTACCAGTATCAACCACTTTGGCACGAGCCACACTGGATTGCATAAAACTGGCCAGTCGTCGTGGCTCAGCTACCGGCGTTCCGAGATACTGGAAGAGATGCTCTGCTTGACCATAGATATCCAGTATGATGAATCCTGCAGGTGCGCATGGATGCCATGCACAGGGCGTGCGAGACCACAACAGCAGCGGTTGACTCACAGGACAAAGGCTTCCGTGATGTCAACCAATAAGGCTCGCTGCGAAGCGGGGTCAAAAGGCCTGAAAGGCCTAAATATGCTCAGATGCGCCCCGGCCCCAGTCTTCGCGCGACTCTTGCTGGCTCTTGTGGGCTTCGTCACACGCAGGCCTCCCAACTTGGCAGCTCCGGCTCCGTGATGAATGCCTGGCGGCTATGGCCATGGCTATGGCGGCTGTGGTTAGCAAACTCCCACTGGTCACTAGCGCATCCCGTCACTGGGCGCTGAGCACTGGCAGAGGCGTGCATATCAACTTCCGGTTGTGCCAGATCTAGCAGCGACCGTGTACGCCGCGTCATGCCACATCCTTTTGCACCGTGAAATCTGTGGCTTCCGACATTCCCGGCTCGGAGATGGAGCTTCCTGGCACGGCTCTTGATGGCAGGATCAAAGCTTTCAAGGGAGCACCTGTCCGCCCTCTCTCGAGGACAGGGACGAGCTCGGCCTTGGTGCTTGGTTCCATTTGGCTCCGGTTCCAGTCCCTGTGAGACTACGCTGACAACTCTGAGCGAGAGGCGAGCTTAGGTCGGCAGACACTCCTTGCACAAAAGGGCAGTCTTTCCGGCGTCACAGCCTCGCCGCAGATGCGCCTTCGTTAATCAGTCGACGCCGGCCCTCCTGACTTTGCAAAAGCAAGAGCCAGAGAAGTGATGCGTTACCCGGACACTACCCTGTCCTTCCCCATGACGAACCTGCACAAGGACAAGCCGCGTGACTATCATGCAGTCAGCCTCGAAATTCCTGCAAAGCGACAGACAGTTACATGTGATCCTCTGCTCTCATGGCGGTGGCGGTGTCTCCCTGCCTGGCTTCGAAGAACTTGATGGAGACGTGAACAAGATCAACGTGAGCAAGGCCGGGCTGGCATGGCTTCGGCGGCCGAAGCCACTCTCGTGTCGAGTCTTGCACTGTGTCACTAACAAGAGAATCTGCAAGACTTGGGCGTCTGCATGTTCGCAGTTGCTGTGTCGCTGCAGGCATGACGCATGCTGCAAAAGCAGACCATCTGCACGAGGAGGAGGACGGCGCCACGAGTCAGAGAGAGAGAGAGCGCCCTCCGTTGCAAGAGGCCTTTTGACACGGTGCAACCGACAGTGCAACACGTCCAAGCATCATTCGGGCTTGGACCGGGGCCCAAATCTTGTGAGATCACGGCCGAAAATCAAAGTTCCTGGGCACCGGAAATGGGGAGCCGAAAGGCGTAGGGATTTTACGGAGAATTAGAACACACCACAATCTGCCACAAGCTGCTGGTGCAGAGGAGCTTCGAAGCCAGTCGGTGGACAGCATGAAACGATTTCGCATCGAAAGCTGGAGGAACCAGTAGGTGAACCGCCAGCCAAGAAACGCAACAAAGCCAGTGACCCGGTTCACACCCGGGAGCTTGGCCATGACAGCCGTAAAGCCACCCAGATACGCCATTGTCCCCTTCAAGAACAAAAAGGACAGCAACCGACTGTAGCACTTTAGAGCTTCAGCAGGATTTTGTTCAAACGCCGTGAAGCGCTAAACATTATAACATATGAAACCGATATAGCCAAAACATGCAACCCAACAAAGGTCAACAGCACGCCGTGCCTTGTTGTGGAACTCGAACGGCTTAATATTCAAGGGGTCTTTCTGACTCAACACTTTGGCCAGATACTGCCCCTGTTGATTGGCTACTTGCGCTGTTTGCGGAAGCCAGTAATCTTCTATGGTGGAACAATCGCCGATGGCATAGATGTCATCTTCCCCCTTCACTTTCAAGTAAGGGTCTACCAGGATTTGAGATCCTCTGTCATTCATCGTAAAGCCGAAAGACTTCACGAATGGGTGAGGCTTGATGCCGGCACACCACACCAGTGTGCCGTAGCGAATCGACATCAGGCTCTCTCCCGTCTTGACGTGCACCACGTTGGGCTCTACTTTCTGAACAAAGGCACCAAGATGAATTTGAACCCCTTGCTTTCTCTGCAGGTGGGTCAGGGCATAATCCTGTAAGTCCTGATCGAAGGTGTTTAGGAGGTCATAGGTGAACATGTGAACACGGATTGAGTGCTTCAAGTGACCGTAAAGCTTCGCACCCTCGTTGTAGAGGAAGTCTGTTAGCTCCCCAGCGAGCTCGACTCCTGTGGGACCACCTCCTACCACGACGAAGGTCAGCAAGTCCTGGATCCTCGCCCGCTCCTCGTCGCTCACAGAGAGATCGTTGTCCAACGCGTGGTGGTAGGAGGCTTCCTCCAGCTTCTCCAAGACCTCGGTTTGCAAGTCTTATCTCATCTTGCCCTCATGCCCCCCGACAACACGCAGTGATGCCGCTCTCCAAACTTCTCAGCCCGGTGCATGGTCTTTGAATCGCGTAGCATCTGCCGTCTCCTTCATGAAGAGGGCATGCTCCTTCACACCTGGAATGTTAAAGTCGTTCGGCTGGAAGCCCACTCCCACCACCAGTTTGTCGTACGGCAGCATGTACTCTTCCCCTCCCACTGTTCTGCATTTGACTTTCTTCGTAGCCTTGTCAATCGCAACAACAGCACTTTCATAATAGGTGGCATTCTTTTTCGCCACCAACGGACGCACCGGTTGGCAAATCGATCTTTGATTCACCGTCCCCAGTGCGGAAGATGCCAACATTGGCGTGAACAGCAGATGGTTTCGAGGAGAGACGACCGTGACGTCTGTCTTCTTGGTGTCTATGTCGGCAAGAACACGAAAGCTTGCCCAACCAGTTCCCAAAATCATGACTTTGGGTTTCTCCGTGCTGAAGGCGCGGTGCCCACAGGCACGGACGTGCCGCCCGAGGACATGCCTCATGGCAGCGCTGAAGGATACTGAAAGGCAGGGCCTCTGCGAGCCATCACAAGCTCTGCAGGCAGCAAGGCATCACAAAACTCTCCCAACTTCAGTCCTTCTGGCCCTGCTCAAGCAATTGCCAGCTGCTTCTACTTCTTTTTCCGTCATCGGGCAGCAGGCAATGCTGAGCAGAGAGTCCTTGCACGCGATCGCACAAATCTCGGATTCCCGCGATTTGAGTGAAGGTTACCCGAATTCCCCAAAACGCTCCTTTGCAGCTCAGCGAAGTGCGCGCCATCCAGACCTGACAGGAAGTGATTCTAAGACAGTGCGGGTCGTGTCTCAAGCAAACCTTGTTGAAGCCGTATCCTGACTGCCAACTGGATGTCTGCAGCTGTGATCCTGAGCAACACCAGATGCCAGCTCACAAGACTGACGAAAGTCTGAGACTGGCTCTGGAGCGCATCACCCTCAGCAGTTAGCAGCCAGTACGGTAAGAATCCGAGAGTCCTGAACAATTCCAGCCTTCGATGCCCTTGCCGTTGATAGCCGGTATCGCGCCAGCCTGGTGGCCTGAACTCTCAGAAGCTTCGACTCACTTCGAGGGCTTCGACTTGTCGGGCCTCTCCGAGCACCGACTCCAACCAGTTCCGCATCCAGGCTCCCAAAACGTCCACCGCCTCGGCACCTTCGGGACGCGGGCCACAGCCCGTCCGCAAGCAGGGGCCGAATTTGCTGCAAGCCACTGATGCACATGTCCTGCATGTAGCCGCAACCAGGTTGACGTCCCAGGTCCTCCCACACCTGTCGCAGACACTTCCGTCATCTGCCGTTGAAGCGCCTTCGCCTTTGAGACCCTTCAGCCCCTCAGCCTCTGCGATCGCTTGCGCCCAGATTCCGTCGCCAGCTCCCGTCTCCACCGTCTCCGAAACCGACCGACTCGGTCGAGGCTCAAGGGGCCTCAGTCTGGAAAAAACCGAATCCAACAGCTGATTCCCAGGACAACGAACAGCTCCAAAGCCTCCGGCTCGCCCAGCACCGCCTGCCACACCTTTCACATTGACATTGTGGAGCAACATTGTGGCGACGAAGTGACATGCAGATCGACTGCGTGCCTGCTCGATGCTCCAAGCCTTAAGCTGCTGGCCGGCCTGAGTTTTTGTCAGGCGGCTCTCACGCCGCATGTCGTTCCCCCTCGTCTTGTCCTAGCTCTTCAGGCTGGGAGCCGCTGGTGCCAACGGACGTGTAGACACGGTGTTGCCCTCCGCAGTCAGGAAACGCACCTCCGCCTGGCTGGCACCGCTTTTCGAACGAGAAATGTTACCGTCTTTGTCGTGCACATCGTCCAGCCTCGCCCATGGGCCCCGCGTCTTGCCAATCTGCTGCTCTGTCATTTAGTTCGTGCTCCAACATGCGTGATCGCAGCCATGCTGCTCCAAAACGTTAAGTTTTCATGACACGATACAATTGGTTCCACCATGCAGCCAGCGTACCGGAACATAGCTGCGACGGCAAACAGCACTCGGACATTGCTGCTTCGTCATTTCTTGAGTGAAAACAAGCCGACGTCAATTTTACACGTTCCGACTGCTAGGACACATGCAAACTCACGACCACAAGTTGCTGTCCATTGCTACACTCAACGTACATGTTCTGCGAAGTGAACAACAATTCGACCATTTGCTTGTAGCTGTTTTTTTTTAATGAGTAGCAAACACACGACTCGGGGTACATGAAAACTTGGAACTGCTCTGTTGCCCCTGCGGAAAGGAAGTCAAGCTTGCGAAGAATTCCAGCGAATGCCGGCGTGATTAAGGTCAAGGTGCAAGGTTGCAACCAGCCATAATGGTGCTTGGCAAAAAATTCCAATTTTGGGTGCTGGAACAACGCAAAACATCCCCACTATTCAAGACCACACCGACTCTTGAAGCGGGTGTCCCAGACGAACAAAACGGCGACCTCACAGCGCGACCACTTTGAAAGGAGCCAATTTGAATTCTTCTTTGGCGTGGTGCGGCCTCAGTGCGGCTTCTTTTTGTCACAGGCAAATGCAATGTCTTAGAATGCTGATAGGAAAATGTACCGTGCACAGCGCACAGAACATGAGACACCCGCTCGCGGTCCTACTCGCCAGCGGACGCTCAACCAGATTCAGTCAAGAACTGCCATTGGAGAAACGACTCAACAACGATGGAGCAAAGCCTGATCGCAGCAGTGCCCAAGAATGGGTGGAATCCAAGACTATCCCATATGCTGTTGCAGCAGCGTCACGCAATGGTCGGCCCCCCAGCTCGGTCTCGGTTCCGGGACGCACTAAACCCAAGTTGTTTGCAAATTGCAGCGGGCCTTCAGTGCAGGCCAACATGCAATCGTAGGGGTGCAATTGCACAGACTTTCATCAGCCCGCAGGATTCCAGATGCACATATCCAGTTGCGCCAGAAAGACGTCGCTGAGTCGTGACGTATTTGCCCGAACAGCACCATTGACAAGGACAAAGACCTGGAAGCAAGCGAAAGTGCTTCTTGTAAATCACGGCATCAATAAGTTTAATTTTAACATGCTTACATTTGCCATACAAGAAAACTCTTTTAACTGCTCAGAACTTTTGCCGCCTCGAGCCAAACTGCAGCGGTTAGGGTGCGGGGCACAGAAGTTCACCCAAAGCGTGAGCTAAACCCTAAACCACAAGTTTAAAGAACTCAGCGGACTGAACTCGACCACAAGTCGAAAGCACTCAGCGGACTCCAACTTTTCTCGTGGTGACGCAGGGACGTGTGAGTCTTGCTCACTCTCGACGAGAGTGCTGCCTACTTCTACTTGGCAAAGAATGCCACAAGAGGAGCACGGCTGCTCACAAGCTGACACAAGGAGCACTGTTGCTCAACAAGTTGGCACTGCACGGCAAGAGGTAACCTGAGGAGCACAACCGGCTGGCGTGCTGCACTGACAAGCTACTCTCCCGGGTGGGTGGGCGGGAGCAAAAAAATTTTAAACTGTGACCTGTGATGCAGTGTCATTGCCTGTGCCATGACAATGCTTGCAGCATGACATGTGAAGTCTTGCGAGACTCAAGCTCGAAGCCAGAACAGCAGGAATGCAAAACAGTCATTCTGCACATACCGGGCAACTGCCAAGCTGCTTTGCAGCATACAGGACACGTGGTTTGTCAAGCTGAAGAAAAAGGAAAAACTCGAGGCGGCCAAAAATTCTTTTTCTTACACAAGAAAAGATTTTTTGTAAAAGAGTCGTTCGCATTTAAAGCGCTAGCAGCGGAGTGCTGCCGACACGCTTAACTGCTCAGAACTTTTGCCGCCTCGAGCCAAACTGCAGCGGTTAGGGTGCGGGGCACAGAGGTTCACCCAAAGCGTGAGCTAAACCCTAAACCACAAGTTTAAAGAACTCAGCGGACTGAACTCGACCACAAGTCGAAAGCACTCAGCGGGCTCCAACTTTTCTCGTGGTGACGCAGGGACGTGTGAGTCTTGCTCACTCTCGACGAGAGTGCTGCCTACTTCTACTTGGCAAAGAATGCCACAAGAGGAGCACGGCTGCTCACAAGCTGACACAAGGAGCACTGTTGCTCAACAAGTTGGCACTGCACGGCAAGAGGTAACCTGAGGAGCACAACTGGCATCAAGCTCTTAGTCAAGGAAGCCCACGCAGTCCGTTAGCGCCTGAGAGGCATCGTCTGCCACAAGTGTTACACCATTAACCTCCAAGGAGTCACAAAGCTTTCGGGATGGCTCGTCGTTTTTTTCATTCACACGCTTTAGTCGAGTCGACTATTCAGCGGGCGCTACGTACCCGTATCGGCAATTGGGTACAGGAACGGCCTTTTCAGGCACGCCGGACAACTGCGGTGCCGCTTCCTAGGGCGGCAGGCTATTGCGGCCCTGAATAGAAAGCAGTAAGGCCACGTCCTACTATGCAAGTGGAAATAGGACGTGGCATCCGAAGCACAGGGAAGAGCTCGTCCCTTCGACTACTCTGAAAAAGAGCGCCTACGCAAGCCCCGAAGGACCAGACCGTCAAAGGCAGCTGCAGCAGAGGCGTTCTCGCTCTTACTGACCTGAAGCCACAGCACTTCTGCCCGTTCCCAAAGAATCGAAAGGAGTGGCAAACCCTGTCTTCAAGGGCCAAAGGCTTTAAGCAAAGAAGTAGCCGCCGCTGCGACTCCCCTGACACACGCTTTGGGCGCGTTAACCACCACCAGCAAGCACGTTGGCACATTGTCCTGCTGACACCACGCTGTACTGGGTATTAGCCAAAATGATGGTCGCCAGTGAGTCGCCAGAGAGACCAGACTCTTCGGCAGACTTGCAGTTGCTGGCAACTCCTGAACCACTGTTCGTCACCATATGCAGTTGGTGGGCCGGCAGGCGGCACCCAACACGGAATGCGAGGGCTCAGGCGATCTGTCGATGCGTTTTGCAGTGCGTTGCTTTTTGTTTCCAAGTCTCTGGGACATGGCTGCAAGAAAATCTGAGAGAGAAACTTATGCTGCGCAACGCATGTCAATCCAGTTCATCCAGATATCCACTATGTCGGTGCACTGCGGTGCGCCTTCAAGGATTGCGATGCGACGTTCAAGGGTGCCAAGCTTTGCGAGGACCGCCTGCAGGCGGTCAGACAATGCATCAATGCGTTCATGAATGGTAGCCTCCATCTCAATGCAATCTTCTGCAAGGCTTTGCAGAAAGCGGACAATTGATCCGGCGTAGGCTCGGGCAGATCCGTGGCGGCAAGATGGAGGGAAAGCTGCAAAGCAGTGCGCAGCCCAAAACAGAACAGAAAAAGGCTAGAGACGGCTTCTGTAGCACTGTGAGCAGAACCGTCGCGTTGTCAAAGTGGCTGTATGGGCCGGCAGTCGGCACCCAACGTGTAAAAGCTGCAGTAAACAGGGCCGCCTTGCAGCTCCCGAAACCAAAGGGTCAAGAGACTCGGGGCCATGTGGTGGAACACGGCCCTTAGGAAGCACAATGTCATTGGAGGAAATTCTCGGCATTAAGTCGCTTAAAACAAGGAGCATCCGCCAAGAAGGCCTCCAATCGACTGAAGAGCCTCTGACTGGGTTTAGGAGGGGACAAATGTTGATCAAGACCCTGCACGTCTCCACGTGCAGCTGAATGGACCGAGAGACGGCTCCCACACGGAAGGGCCTGTTGCCAACAGTACCGCAGCGAGGGCAAAGTGCTGCGCACTCCACAGCGTCTCTGGGGCCTACCAGAGGCACCCGCCATTGCAAGCACCAGGTGAAGGACCTCAAGAAACTTCTCTGAAAAGAAGCACCCAAGAGGGCGGATGCAACAAACAGTGCACCTTGCACGCATGCGGAGCCACATCTCTTACGCTCTTCTGCAGAGAAATCGAAATCGGAACCAAAACCTCAGCCGATTATTGTCGCGCCAGATGCAACATGCAAGGCCGGGTAGCACACTGTTTTGACCAATGAGCGTGGGCGAGGACCAAGCGCAGCTGTGTGGGCCGGTAGCCGCTCAACACTCCATTCCGACGAAGAAGTCTTGCAGACCAAGGGGGCTACGACCCCCACTGAGTGCGAGAATCTGCCGCCTGGCGCCTGAACTGCAAATGTAGCTGTAAGCAACCCTCTGAGAGAAAATTGGAGACCGAAGCACTGGTCAGGGGCCGAAAAAACGGCACACCAACAAAGGCACGGTCACGACGTGGCATCGCGATCCGGTGCAGTTGTCCAGTGCAAGATCGCGCCGCCTACCGTCTTCCCACTGCTGTGAAAAGTTGTACCTCTGAGCTGCCTGTTGAGTGGTGGAGCCGCTCAGTGTGATGGGCTGCGATATGTATATAATCAGGCTGCTGATTGCAGTTTGGAAGCAAGCCAATTTTCCTGCGATTCCTGGAATTTTCTGAGGTGCAATGGTTATCTGGATATATTCTGCATGGTTTTGGTTTTGCAGAGGTTTTCTCAAAGCACTGGAGGATTTTCACTGGGAGCTGCGGTTTTCATGGCATGGAACCTTGGTTTTCAGCTGCGAGAACAGTTTTCGACATGTGGCATGAGTTGCTTGAGCTTTTGAGTGAGCTGAGTGAATGCTGTGAGCCGTTAGTTTGATTAGAGTCCGCATGAGTTCTCGAAGGCCTCAAGGTACCTTCTCGAACAGCTGTAGGGTATGCGAGTTTGTTTGCCAGCGTGGAGCTTGTAGGGAAGCTGTGACGGCATGCTTTTGAAGCGAAGTTTTGTTTTGGTCATGTGCTGAAGCACATGTGAATCTGGAAAGCCGCGCTTATGTGTGGCTCAAGGCTGGAAAGCTTTGAGACTGAAGCTCGTTGAGAATGGGCCAGTGATGAAACTTGTTCTGAGGCCCATGAAAGCAGAAAGCAAAGCTTAAAGCTTTAGGTGACAGCAGTGCAGTGCAAGAACAGCTGAACACTTCGTTTGTTGCGCGAGCAAAAGTCTGTGCAGACCTTGACGGGTTGTTCAGGGTTTGTAAGTTTTACATGGTAGCGGAGCACTGTTTGTGCTCCCACACCATTTCCGCCGACCCAAAGAAGGTGTTATGTCTCAAAGGCCTATAGGTCCAAGTGCTGAGGCGCCAGCTCCGTGTAGTCCAGGTCTTGCTGAGGCGGGAGGGGAGTATGGGTGTGGTACAGCTGGGTGTGGGCAACAGGAAAGGAGGCAAACAGGTGTGGAAGGTGTGAGTGGTGTTGGGTCAAGCGATCCATGGTTTACAGGTGTTCAGAGAGATCCCTGGGCGTTGTATGGAAATCGTATGCGTGCTGGAATGGGACCGATGGAGTCTCATATTAGCATGCCATGTCCACCTTCGAGCGGTACGTCTTCGGTTGCGAGTGCATGTGCTGGTATTAGGCCAGTGGCGCCAGCTCCAGGTTTGTCAGTGCCTTCGGGTCCTGCGAGGAATCTTTCGACAGTTCCGAGTCAAGGATGTTGCAGTCAGGTTTCTGGAGATAATGCTAGTGCAGGGAGACAGCTGCTTGATCGCATGAATGCGCGTGAGTTGCAGTCCTTGTATGCAGATCTTAGCCAAAGACTGAATGTCCCTGTGAGTGGACAGTTCGTTCCTGAGAGATTGGGGCAGTCGCCACCTGATTTGAATGTGCCAGCTTTTGTGAGACATCAAGGTAACACGTTACCTGGTGTTCCAGCTGAAAATGCGAGGAGCAGTGAAGACAAAGACGTCTTTAGCCGAAGTGAGAAGTGGCTAGGGTCTCCACCTTCGCCAAATCATCAAGCGTGGAAAGGGCGTGAATCCGAAGTGCTGGGCATGAATGCCTATATTCACGAGTTGGTTGCATGGGCGAATCAAGCAAGTGTTGAGTTTGGAAAGGAGATCGCTCAGGCCGCGCGATGGCCTACACAGATTGCATGGAACACGTTGTCTAAGAGTCAACAAGCGCGAGGAGTTCGTTTGTTTAGTGTGCTGAAGGCAGCGTTTGGAGATCATGGGCGGATAACTCTTATGATCCAAAGCTTCGGAGAAGGGCTTGACATTGTTGCAGTCGCCATGCAGGGAGATGTTTTCGGGAACTCTCTTTCGTATATGGGTAATGGCTTTGAGTTGCTGAGGCAGCTTGCCAAGGAGTTTTCTTTGAGAAGTCGTGCTGAGGCTATGAGTCTCAGGGCGATGCTGATGGCAAGAACGTTTCGAGCGCAAGACTCGTCAGCTCCAGTTGCTGACACAGTGCGTCAGATTGAGGTGGCAGTGGCAAGGTTTGTGCGTTTACTTTCGACGCTAGATCCTAGAGATGCTGCTGGGTTTGCTTTGACTGACAGTGATCAGCTTACGCTTTTGATGAGGTCTTTGCCTGAGAGCGCAAAGGCGTATACGTTACATCATTCGCAGGGTGAGACATATGCCTCATATCGATCTTCAGCTTTGCGATGGGAACATCAGCAGCGTTTGTTTCTTGAGTTGCAAGGGGCCAAAGGTTTGTTTGGCTTGCATGAAACCGAGTTTTCTGAGAGCGCAGGCTCGCCTGAAGCAGGTGAGGAAGTGGGTGGTCACGTCTTTGGCATGAGTGCCAAGCCTTCTGATGCTGGGAGCGGTGTGAAGTGCAACCGTTGTGGCAAGAAGGGGCATCAAGTGAATCAGTGCACGACAGACCTTTCCAAGGTTAAGTGCTTCAAGTGCGGAGAGATGGGCCACATATCTTTGAACTGTGCCAAGGGCAAGCAGAGTGATGGTTCTCAGTCGAGTGCGAGACCTAAGGGTTCTGATGGCAAAGGTGCTGCTGCGGCCAAGGGTCAAGTTTCTTTTTCGCCTAAAGGCAAGAGCAAAGGAAAAGGAGGAAAGAAAGGAAAAATGTTTGCTCTGTTTGATGAGGAGACAGGGGTTTGGTGGTACACAGATGCTGATGAATCTTTTTACACCGAAGAAGGTGACGATCAAGAGACACAGCAGGTGGATGCCACTCTTGTGTTGTCTTGTGTCATTGAGTCAACTGATGAGCCCAATACGCGTTTTGAAGCTGTCCTTGAAGACAGCGAGTCGGTGTCTGTTGTGCTCCAAGAGCAGTTGTGTCAACCTTTGTTGCAGTCGTTGGGTCAGTCGCTTGGAAGTGAGTTTTGGCTGCTTGACTCAGGTGCGTCATGCTGTGTTATCAACCATGTGACGTTGAAGACGCTTCCGCATGATGAGTTGACTGCATGTGGTTCGACGTTTATGGCTGCGAATGGGACTCCTGTTCCCTTTGATGGTCGTTGCCATGTTGTGCTAAAGGTTCGCACAAAGGATTCAAGTGGAGCTACCAAGAATGGTGTCTGCAAGATTCCTGTGATGGTGGGTGACACTCCTTACAATATCCTGTCAACGCGAACTCTTGGAAGGCATGGTTGGCGTGTTGTCTTGGATGAAGGCGTTTCTGTGTGTCATGTGAAGTCGGGTGTTGATATGATTGATACCTGTATTTGGTGTGACACGCCTTGGGTCCGCGTGATTCCTCATTCAGAAGGTGATCTCTTGTTGCCGTCGGATGCCTCAGTTGATCCTGCTCCAATTTCCTCGATTGGACATGTTGCAGTTGTTTCGCAGAAGACCAAGGAAGATCTTGAAATTCACAGAGCAAAGGGCCACATGCCCTTCCATCCTGATTGCGAGCATTGTCTGAAGTCCCGAGGTGTTACCCAACACAGGCGAAAGTCTGAGCGCGGAGTGGAAACAGAGATTGTTGCAGATTTTATGTTTCTCGACTCTTCTGGAGAGACGATCAGCGTAGCTGAGCGCCAGACAAGTAGCTCTTTCAAGGTCCTCGTCCTTCGTGAGGCTTTTTCTTCTTCTATTGGGGCTGTGATGATAACTGAGAACATTGCAAAGGACAGAGGTCTTCTTTTGAAGTGGCTTGCTGAGTTTGGGTTGTCGTCCTCACAGGCAAGCATTGTGCTTTTGACAGATTCCGAAGAAGCGGTGAAGTCGTTTGTTGCAGGTGCGTCGGATAAGTACATCTTTATGGTGCGCAAGGCTGCGCCACAAGCTCATGAACAGCTTGGTGGTGCGGAAAGGACAGTCCGGGTCCTTAAAGAAGGGCTAGCTACTCTGCAAAGTGATTTTCAGTCGCTTGGTTGCGTTTTGTCGTTTCGGAGAGACTTGTTGCAGCTTGCACTTTCTTACCTGTGCATGAGTGTGAATTCGAATGGCAAAGCTTTTGGCGGTGAACGCTCTCCAAAGGAGGTTGCAGTTGGTCGAAGGTTGCCAGATACCCCTTTTGCGTTGTTTGGGTCCAAGGTGCTTGCTGAGGTCCCTGAGTCTGTGAAGGCTTTGTGCCCGAATATGTCGCGTTTTGAGGCGGCAGCTTTTCTTCACCCGCAATTTGGGTCGCTTGGGAGCTTGGTGTATGCGCATGTGCGTGTGGGCCAGGTCTTGACGCCAAAGGTGTTTGTTGCCAAGTCGATCAAGCTTGTGTTTCCGATTGGGCTTGTCTTCGAGTCGGGGATGTTTGAAGTTTTGCGTCGTCGTGGTGAGCTTGGGCCTGAGAGGCCAGATCATCCAGTTGCGCCTCGGATTCTTCCGAGTTCCCAGGGTGCCTCTTTGAAGTGTCCTGTTTCCGGTCCGCCAAAGGAGTTTTTGAGAGGTATGGGTTCTCAGGTGAGTGCCGAGCGTGTTCTAACATGGCACAATTTGGGTCTAGGAAGGGCTCTTCTCACGGTCGGGCTTGCTGTTTGAGATATGAAGCGTGGTTGCGGTCGCAAGTTGCAACAGATGACAGCATGGACGTTGAAGTGCCTGTGGCTTCGGATGCAGAGGCTATGCGTGAAGCTCTTTCTGAGCTAGCCGAGGATGAGTCGAGGCAAGACCGAGCTGTGGAGGAGGCTCAGGGTTCTCCTTTGCCTCCCCCGGCCAATGGGGACGCTGCTTCGTCTGAGGCTCCAGCGAGGATTGTGAGCGAGGCGGCCCCCAGTGGTCGTGTTTTCACGCGTGGTTGTCCTGCGTGCGAGTCTGGCATGAATGCTCCTGGCATTCGTCACAATGCTGATTGCAAGCGAAGGAACCAACATCTCAGTGTTAGATTTTTTGTTTCTGGGGAGCCCGATGATGACGAAGCTTCATCCAGGCGTCTGCCTGAAGATCTTGAAGGAGCTGCTGCTCCTGAGTCTGAGGGCATTGGGGCTCTTGATGAGGACACTGAGATGCCGTTTGCCGATCCAGTGTTGACTGGAAGTGAAGGCGGAGGCAGCCTAGAGGCTGAAGAAGTGCTTCGTGGAAGCAGTGCTGTGAAACGCTCCTCTGAAGTCCCGTTGGAAGATCTGGAGCGTGAGATCAGGCAGGACCAAGAAAGGGTTGCTTCAGTTATGGTTACCTTCCACAATTGCGAAACAGGGAATGATGTTCACATGCCTCTTGCGAGTTTTGTTGAGCAGGCGTTTCAGGTTTCCAATTATGTCCCTTTGCTTTCAGGGCTTGTGGATTCGGTTCAGTTCGCCCCGAACTCTACGAGTGTTGTTTTGCCGTTTGGGAAAAGGTCGCATTTGAGACTTTGGAAGCCTAGTTCCGCTGTTGATGACTCTACCTTGGGTGAGCTTTCAGGAGATCAGGTCATGGAAGGCATGGTCAAAGAAGTCGACAATTTGAGTCACATGGAAACTGGGGATCTGTTGACTGCTTCAGAACTTCAGAGTCTTGAGAAGAGGTTCCCAGGTACCTTGAAGGTCATCCCTAGTCGTTGGGTCACGACGCAGAAAACACCAACTACAGTGCGAGCTAGGATTGTCATCAAGGATATTGCTGGCAAGAACTCAGAGTCTGCAAGGGCTTTGGGCATCTCGAGTCCTACTCCTAGTGCCGATGCTTTGTTCACGGTTCTTGGGGTTGCAGGTTGCAGAGATTGCGTGATTGCAGGTGCTGATGTATCTCACGCTTTCATGGCTACGCCTTTGAGAGAAAGGGATGTAGTGATGCGGTTTCCTCTGTCAGTGTCTTCGGTTTCAGGGGATCCTTTGTATCTTCACCTTAACAAAGCCCTCAATGGGCTGCGGAAGGCTTCGCAGGAATGGATCTACTTCGTAGGGGAGACTGTGAAGGTTTTGGGGCTTCAAAGTTGCAGCTTAGAGCCGTGTCTGTTTTCAGGCATGCTTGAGTCAGGTCCCTGTTTGCTGTTGGTCTATGTGGATGATTTTCTGTGCATTGCGCCAACAAAGGAGGATGCAGATCACATCTTTGAGGTGATTGAGAAGAAAGTTGAACTCAAGAGAACCGGGTTGATCAATTCTTCCAAGGATGGCGGTGGCACTTTGCGGTTTATTGGTAGGGTTATCTCCAGGAGAAAGGGGGAGTCCTCTATCACAGTGTCTTTGCCTGAAGATTATTTGGATGAGACCTTCAAGGCTTATGGTCTTTCGGGAAAAGGTTCCTCAAGTCCTCCAGATGTTGCGGTTCATGTTGAGAAGCAAGATGGGGTTCCATTGTCTCCTGAGGCGTATGCCAGGTTCAGGTCTGCGTTGGGGAAAGTAGCTTGGATGACGCAGACTCGTCAGGACTTGCGTGCTTATGTGTCAATCTTGGCAACGCAGCAAGCCACACCCACGAATCATACTGAGCATGGTCTCCGAGCCTTGCTTCGATTTCTGAAGAACGACATGTGCGTGGTTGTGCGGTTGCCTGCTGCGAGTGATGTGTTGGCTCCCTCGCAACACTACCAAGGAAAGAGGCACCTTGTGTGTTTCTCTGACGCATCGCATGCGCCTTTGAGGTGCACGAAGCGCCGTGGCATCAGTGGAGGAGTGTTGACACTTGATGGCTGCGTGATAAAGACTTTGTGTCGTCACCAACAGCTTGTGTCGCTGTCGTCTATGGAGTCAGAGCTGTTTGCGTTGCAGTCGGTTGCTCAAGAAATGTCGAGTCTTGGAAAGTTCATGGCAAGGGTCTTCATGTCGTTTCGAGAAAGCGAGGAAGTTGAATTGCCTGGGATACTTTACAGTGACTCAGAAAGCGCTTTGAAGCTTCTTCGCAATTTAGACACACCCAGACAAAGCAGACATCTTGAGATAAGAGTCGAGTGGCTTAAAGCTCGTGTCGCAGCGGGTTCTTTGGTCCTTGCGTTTAAGAAGGGAATCGAAAATCCGTCAGACCTCTTGACTAAATGTTTGGGGTCCTCGGCTTTCGGGATACATCGCGAAGCGTTGGGCTTTGAGTCGCTGTCGGGACCACTTGCGTCTTTGTGCAATCATGAGAAGAGATTGGTGATGGTTGAAGTGTGCTGTCGACCGCAGTCGAGTGTTCAAGGTGCATGTCGCAGAGTCGGGATGAGTTACGTTGGCGTGACTGAGAACATGCAGAGTGACAGCGTGTTCAAAGAGGTGCGTCGATATCTTCTGAACTTTGCGTGTGACTGCGTGTTTGTGCATGTGTCCACGCCTTGCTCTTCTGGATCTTACTTGCGTCGGTTCTCTGGCGGGAGCTCGTCGAAGTCGGATTGGGAATGGTTTGAGGTGTTTCCTTGTGTGTTGAAGTACTTGAAGCTTGGGAAGCACTCGAGCTTTGAGCTGCCATGGAACAATGAGATTTGGCAACATGACTTGTGCCAGAAGGTGCTGAAGAAAGCAGGCCACACGTTCGATGTGCCGGTGAGGTTGTGCATGACTGGTCTTTGTTCGAAAGGGGGGTGAGCCTATAGGCAAAGTCTTGGGTTTTACTTCGACTTCTGAAAAGTTTGTGTCTGCCCTGAAGTGTTTTTCCAGCTGCAGGTGTGCTAAGCATGCAAATCTGTGGCAGGTTGGATGGACCGAAACAGGTTTTTACACTCCGAAACTCGCTGATGCGATTGTTCGAGGTGCGATCAAAACGTTGCAGTGATGCTTTTTGGGGGGTTTGGGCCGGGCTGTTGGCTGGGTTCGGATTCTCCTCTTGACGCCGGTTTCTTTGCGGACGTTGAGGTCTGCAGACAAAGCTCCGTACTGGTGCTAGTTGTTTTTGCGTGTGAAACCTAGGTGCGAACTCGTGCTGCCATGGTTCTCACGACCGATGAACGCAGGGAGCTGCGCCGTTTGCTGGATAAGATGGATTCTGCAGATGGCTTGGCTTCGACTGCCAATACTTCTATGACCGATGGGACCAAGCGTCTCAGAGATGTGGGTGGATATCCAGAGGATGGGTCTACTGCATCAGGATCTGCTTGCGGTGCCCAGCTGCCGATTTCAAAGGGAAGCGCAAAGGGTGCTGTGAGCACTCCCAAGTGTTATGAAGACCTCGTCGATGCATTCGAGGGGGAAGAGTTTGGGGATAGCGACAATGTGATTGTCGTGAGCTATGCAGGTACTGAGGTCACCTCGGTGCCACTTCCAAGTGATCTATCTTTGGAGGATTGGGGTCGGACAATCTGCGATCTGCCAAAGGTCCAGAAGAATAAGATGTGGTTTAAGAAGTCCTATGCGACCTTGGTCAAACTTGCCAAGGAGGATAGCGACCTTGCAAGCTACCTCAATTGGATCAAGGAGAAATTTGGTCGCAATTATGATCCGACGACCTCCTCCAGTCAGTCCTCGGACCTTGCGGGGTATTTGATGAGGATTGGTTTTTCAAAGCAGAAGGGATTCCAGCGCAAGTTGGCGGAGGAGTGAAATCCTCGCTGGGATTGCGGAAGGAGCATGGGTACATGTATGAGCGGTGAGAGCTGGTATTCTCAAGGATGCCTATGTGTATGTTCACTGTTAGAAGTCTGTTGGGCTTCGCTTTGGGTGACGTCCTGTCTGGCATGAGAGAAGAGCTGGCTATCTGGCGCGAGATTTTTCCAATACCTATGTCTTCGTCGCTTCGCATGGGTTGCAGCGTGGCTACATGGTTGGCAATGTTTCAATGTGTGCTTGGTGTCGAGAAGTGCTTGTTTTGGACAGCAGCAAGGATGAGAGATGATACACACATCGAAAGGGGGTGTGAAAAGTTGCACCTCTGAGCTGCCTGTTGAGTGGTGGAGCCGCTCAGTGTGATGGGCTGCGATATGTATATCATCAGGCTGCTGACTGCAGTTTGGGAGCAAGCCAATTTTCCTGCGATTCCTGGAATTTTCTGAGGTGCAATGGTTATCTGGATATATACTGCATGGTTTTGCAGAGGTTTTCTCAAAGCACTGGAAGATTTTCACTGGGAGCTGCGGTTTTCATGGCATGGAACCTTGGTTTTCAGCTGCGAGAACAGTTTTCGACATGTGGCATGAGTTGCTTGAGCTTTTGAGTGAGCTGAGTGAATGCTGTGAGCCGTTAGTTTGATTAGAGTCCGCATGAGTTCTCGAAGGCCTCAAGGTACCTTCTCGAACAGCTGTAGGGTATGCGAGTTTGTTTGCCAGCGTGGAGCTTGTAGGGAAGCTGTGACGGCATGCTTTTGAAGCGAAGTTTTGTTTTGGTCATGTGCTGAAGCACATGTGAATCTGGAAAGCCGCGCTTATGTGTGGCTCAAGGCTGGAAAGCTTTGAGACTGAAGCTCGTTGAGAATGGGCCAGTGATGAAACTTGTTCTGAGGCCCATGAAAGCAGAAAGCAAAGCTTAAAGCTTTAGGTGACAGCAGTGCAGTGCAAGAACAGCTGATTTCTTCGTTTGTTGCGCGAGCAAAAGTCTGTGCAGACCTTGACGGGTTGTTCAGGGTTTGTAAGTTTTACAACTGCGGAAAGAGCTATCGTGCTGTGGTTCTCCCCCCGTGGAGGGCCCGGGGGAAACCCTCACGCCAGCCATTAAATTGCCTTGTAGCTGTGCTCTTGGAAAATTGATGGCTCCCGGACTTGGAACCGGGACAATCTGAAACAGAAGCTGGGCTGGAGCATCCTTGCCAAACTCTTCCGAAAACTTTCTGTCCACAAAGCTGCGATTCCCTCCAATAGGCTCCGAAAGCAAAGGACTGTAAGCAAAGTACAAATCACTGATGCCGTTCCAAACATGACTGTGTGACAGAAGCAAAAGCTCTCCACTGCCAAGGTGTACTGCAGGGGCTTGCCGCATAGCACAGCGCGCCTCTTTTTTCCCTAAAGTAGCAGGCCTGCAAGTCATGACCAAGATGGCTCGAATGGTTGCAAGAGCGAACAAGCAGTTGCATACGTCGCCACATACCCAAAGATCTATGCCATGCAGTTGAGTAAAATAAAGAAAAGTGTATTCCATGCCTTCGGGGTTTCTTTTTTGGCTTGACTGGCCTCGTCGACTACGCCTGCAGCACTCGGTCCCCACAAACAAGCGAAACTACAGGGGAGACCCACTCAAGCGAGGCCAGAATTGCTGGACTTTCTCAGCCCTACATTTGGAGTCGCGCAGCTTGCCGTTTTCACTAACAGTGCAAAGCCTCTCGAACCGTCATTTGTGGTGTTTCGAAACAGAAACGAAGCCTTCCAAAGCCTCCCGCCGTGGGGTTCCGAGGCCCCACTCGTGGCGTTCGTGGCCCTGATGTGGCCTGTGGGTTTTGGGGGTTGGTTTAGGGTGGGTTTGGGTGGGTTTGACCATGTTTAGAAGGCGTGGGTGGGTTTGGGCTGGGTTCGGGTGGGTTTGACCATGTTTAGAAGGGTTGGGTGGGTTTGAGAGGGTTTGGGTGGGTTTGCTGAGTTTGGGTGGCGTCTCGAGAACTTGTTTGGCCGGTTTGTCTCTTACCTTGGCCGCCTGGCTGTATCTTCATCTAGCAGTTGCCTTCCAGCGACCTGGACAGGATGCCCTCAACATCTTGCGGCCGCACGTGGCACCAAATGCCGCCTCCGGCAAGACATACCAAGGTGCTGTGCGATTTGGTCATGTTTACGTCGTCGCCGACAAACTTGGGACCTTGTTCCTGGGCAGCCAGCAGATGCTGCAGATGCTTAGATGCGTAGTTGAAGGGAACTTCGAGCAAGCTGCGGCTTAAAATTCTAAAGGGGGAGAAAGCAGGGTCAGTTGCGGCCCGAGGCCTGGTGAGGACTCCTCAATTAGTATTATAAAGCCCCAAGTCCCTGAGGCCTCGTAATCTTGCAAGCTAAAGGGGTTTTGAGGTTCTGGAAGGCCTCGGATGGGCCTCGAACGGCTTCAAACCCTGGGAAATGAGGCCTCGGGCGGCCTCGAACGGCTTCAAACCCTGGGAAATGAAGCCTCGGACCATGCAGAGGCTTCAAGGGTTGGCGGTAATGTAGTGTGGCAAGGCTCGAGAGTTGACACTTGTTTTTGCAAGATTACGAGGCCTCGGGGACTCGAATCTTTCTCATACTATTAAAGGGGTCACCAGAAGCCTCGGACCGCTGCCTTTCTTCTTTTTTTCCTACAGAGAACTTAAGGCCGCAGCTGGCTCCAAATCCCTTAGGTGGATCTGGAAAAAGGCTTCAAGAAGCTTTGATGATCTTGCAAGCTATTGGCTATTGCTGACTCCATAAATCTTGGCAATCGTAGACAGAAGCCTCGATGATCTTGTTGCAGCGATGCCTTCAAATAAAACTCAAAGATCTCGATTGGCTTAGAAAAGCTTCGAGAACCTTCGATGACATTGCAAACTGACGCTGATCTCTAGCGGATATATAATAGCAGGATGAAGCACAAGAAATGATGCTGCCGGACGACCCCATTTCTGGGCCCACGAAACGAAAGCAAATCTGGCTTCGCCACCATGGGCCTCCGCAGTGCAATTCCGCTGGTTGTGGCATTTAAGGTGAGCGTGCAGCTGCCTTGGACAAGCCTTCTGGCTTTTTCAATCTTGTGTCTGCGTGATGCCCAAAACTGCTGGAACAAAGGCAGGCGCACGCCCGAGATCCAGCTGGTTGGCCCCGAACCTTTGCGACCCCAAAAATGGGGCCGTTTCGCGGCCCCAGAAACAAGGCTGCGAAATGCACCCGGCCTCCCTAAATATATAGTCTGAGCATGAGTTGGAGGCCTGGAAGCCCGACCCCAAAAATGGGGCCGCCAAACGGCCCCATTTTTGGGGTCGCGAATTCTTCTACTTTGAGGCACGCCCGCCTGATTGCTACGCGACGAGGCGACTGGCACACAGGCAAGCGTCCATGCAGCTTGGAAAAGACAATCTTGCAGGATTAAGACTCCCATAGCCTGCTTTCTTATGGAAGCAATCAGCATTGAATTAACATGAAAGAAACAGGCACAGGGCACAGGGGAGGCCCACTCAAGCGAGGCCAGAATTGCTGGACTTTCTCAGCCCTACATTTGGAGTCGCGCAGCTTGCCGTTTTCACTAACAGTGCAAAGCCTCTCGAACCGTCATTTGTGGTGTTTCGAGACAGAAACGAAGCCTTCCAAAGCCTCCCGCCGTGGGGTTCCGAGGCCCCACTCGTGGCGTTCGTGGCCCTGATGTGGCCTGTGGGTTTTGGGGGTTGGTTTAGGGTGGGTTTAGAAGGCGTGGGTGGGTTTGGGCTGGGTTCGGGTGGGTTTGACCATGTTTAGAAGGGTTGGGTGGGTTTGAGAGGGTTTGGGTGGGTTTGCTGAGTTTGGGTGGCGTCTCGAGAACTTGTTTGGCCGGTTTGTCTCTTACCTTGGCCGCCTGGCTGTATCTTCATCTAGCAGTTGCCTTCCAGCGACCTGGACAGGATGCCCTCAACATCTTGCGGCCGCACGTGGCACCAAATGCCGCCTCCGGCAAGACATACCAAGGTGCTGTGCGATTTGGTCATGTTTACGTCG